AATGAGGCCTATAGTGAAGGCAAGTTTCATACAGCAGATAGAAGCTAGGCAGTCAAGTAGCAGCAAAGGAAGAAAGTGTTTGGTAAAGAAAAACTTGCCCTCTCTAGAGGCCTACACATTACTGGCACACTTAACATCCAGGACCAACTCTACATAGAGCCGGGGGGATTGTCACGTCAGCAGAAAAGCATGGCGCCACACAGCTATTTTCATTCTGGGGACTGGAAAGTCATTTGCAGTGCAGGAACTCAGTTGTGTCAGCCACTGCCAGACTCAACTCTTACACCAACTAGCTGCAAGCCAAGATAAAGCCAGCTGGTGGTTTTGTTTTTGGCAAAAGTAAATAAGGAAAAGAGATAGCGCTGTCTTCTCAAATACAGTACCGCTAAATACACTACAAACAAGTCACAGGTGCATGAAATCCCACAGGCAAGCTTCACATACAAGCTAGATTTGATTTATTCCAGTTGCTTGGCATTTGTGTATCCAAAACACTTTTACTTGGCTCAATTTCTGTTTGGCCAAATCAGAAAAATTAAATACCCAGTACTATAGGCAGTTTTCATAGTACTGAAGGCTTAAAAATTCAATGATTAATTAACTATTCACCACACATTAGCACTGAACAACATAATAAAAAACAGCACTAAAAGTCCTGACTAGTTGCAGTCAATAAAGAGCCCACTTTATACCTGCAAATGGAGCAGTTTTCTGTGGGAAACTAACTCTAGTACTTCCACTCAGATTAACCAAAATGATTGCATCCTATCCTTGACCTGTAATGTCATGGGAGAGCTCTGCTCTTCTCATCGGGTATGTCTGCACGACAGCGCTAATTCGAACTAACTTAGTTCGAATTAGTTAATTCGAACTAAGCTAATTCGAACTAACGCATCCAGACTAAAAAACTAGTCCAAATTAGCGTTTTGCTAATTCGAACTAGCATGTCCACACAGAGTGGACCCTGAACCGGGGTTAAGGATGGCCGGAAGCAGTGCTGGCAGGGCATCAGATGAGGACTTAGAGCGTGGAGCTGCTGTCTCAGGCTAGCCGAGGGCTGTGCTTAAAGGGACCCGACCCCCACCCCGGACAGACAGTCCTCAGGGGTGCCCCGCTTGCAAAGCAGTCCTGGCTTGGATTACCCGGAGTACCCACACTGGGCACATCATAGCACTCGGCCATCAGACCGGCTGCACTTGCCGCAGGCTGCCATCTAGGGAGAGGGGGCAAGTGGGGGGCTGCAGGAGAGGTTCCACCCCCAGAAGCCCGCAGAGCCAGCCCAGTCCTCCCCATCGGGGGCTCGTACCCCATTCCTCCCTCACCTCCTTCCACTTACCCCTCCCTAGCCCCCCTTCCTGATGTACAAAATAAAGGACAATTGTGTTCAAAAATAGAATCTCTCTTTATTGAGCAAAACTGGGGGAGACTGGGAAAAGGAGGTGGGAGAGGGGAAGAGAGAGGCTGGGAGAGGGGAGGGCAACTACAATGAT